TCTGATTATACCAAAAAAAAAAGACTTCAATCCTTATTTGAAGATTTACTACTACTCATAGTTTTGTCTGATTATACCAAAAAAAAAAAAGACTTCAATCCTTATTTGAAGATTTACTACTACTCATAGTTTTGTTTTATATTACTAAACATTTTAAACTAATTTAAGGTTCGCAGACCCTTTTTAGGAGACGAAAATATAAAGGAATCGATAGTCAAAATTAAAAAGAAAAAAAATAATTGAAAGTACAAATGAACAATGTCAAAGAATTAAAAGTAAAATTAGAACTATTGGGCATTCAACAATGTTTACTAATTTATGTTCTCCCTATGATGCACGGCATTCAAAATGCTTTCAAAAAAAACCAATGAAAAAGTTGGATTTTTTTTCCAAATTAAAACAACATTTATTTGGGAAGTTTGTGCTAAACTTTGACTATTGTCTTTTCTTTATATACAAATTCTAAATTTTAATTGTAACATTGTTTAACTTATCAAGGAAGAAAATGTTTCATAATTTGTAACCCCTTCGTCCATAAATTAACTTTGCCGTTACCAATTTACAATTTAAGAATCTCGAGAATCTTTATTTATTTTTGTGTTTTCATTGATGATTTGATAAAACTAAGTATTTTTGGCACATCTTGATTTATAGAACTTTTAATATACTTTTAAAAGACTATTCTACCTTAAAAAAACACAATATTTTTGGAAAAAGTGAACAAAGCTTATGGAGTTTCTATCAAGTAGGTGTTGCTCGTACTAACCATAGCCAACCCAAAGTTAAAGCACTCTAAGCATGTCTACTGAGTACTCAAACTACATATTGTATGGATGGAATCCTACATATTGCGAGGTCGATTCCTCGCGGAGTGCAATGCGTTAGTGCTATTCTGAGTTATTTTGTGCTATAATAATGGGCTCCTTGCATGTCTATATATGGATTTGGCCGCCTCTTTTAATAGGCCGCTGAATTCTTGATTCACCATTGTCCATATATCTCGTCGGGTCGGGAAATGGGGGACCCGTGATGTTAGGGTTCAATCTTTTTGTAACAAAAAGGGCAAAATCCATGGACAAACGATGGCAAAATCTTACGTGATCCTAAAGTTCTGTTCAATTTATAGATCTTAGTTCATTAATATCACAAAAAAATCAAATCTTTCCCAAAAATCGAGTCTTTACTAGTGAAAAATGTAAGAATATCTATATTCTACATTTAGACTTTAGGATTATGGAAGAATAACTCTAGTTTGATATTTTAAGGACTTTTTTTGCTTTACTCTTAATGGAGTTTAAAGATTGAAGTTTTAATATTGAAATTTAGATACACTATTTTTTTGCAACGAAGATACAATGTTAAATTTAACCGAACTGAAGCCAGAAATCAGAGTTTGCAATATAACGAACTAGACTTAAAATTTTAAAAGTACTTAAGCCAAGAACTTTAATCAAAATTTAACACCCATGCTCCCTAAATAAAATTCACTCATGGTACATCGGAATATTAGTTTACGATGTCTGATTGTAATTATTTTAATTTGATTTTGAGTAAATTCCATAAATACTAAATGGTACTTCGTGAAATTTATACAAAGTACATGTATTTAAAAATTATGGCATTAGAAATTCTATAATCAACAAATTACGAGTATATAATTGTATGATTTTGTATACTCCGTAGTTTAAAGAAAATATTTTTTATCACTAATAATTAGAATTATTATTCAAAGAAAATATTTTTTTACAATAAATGTAAGTTTATTTATGGACAAGTTTTTTTTAGGGATATTTATGTACAAAGTTAATTTGACTAGAAAATGATTATGGAGTGAGTTTTTTATATATAAAACCCTCAAACATCTCTATTCTCTAATTTCTACTTCTCCTCCCTGATAACTGGTCTCTGTCGTCACGCAATAAAAACCCAAACATCTGCTCTACAAATGCCGGAGCTGCTCGCCGGAATGTCCATCTTCAGGTTACTCTCCCAGTCTTGATGTGTAAAATCTAGAAACAGCTGGCCGCCGGTGACCGATGAACGTAGAAATGAGGTGTCTGAGACATTTCTCCGACTTGAGCAGCGCCGTCGGCGGCGTCTGCGCCTCCTGCCTCCGTGATAAGCTCCTCGTTATCAGCGAGGCACAGGAGGCAGAGCGCCGTAGAGCTCGGCCGGTTGTTTTCCCGCGGTCCGTTTCGCCGTTTAGGAAGGAATCTGTGACGGCCGGCCGCCGCGGCTTGGCGGACCGGATTGTCTACGGCTCTCCACAGTTGGGACCGAATGGGGAGCTGATTTCATGGAACGAGTACGCAGAGGAGAAGCAGGAGAAGAAGAAGAGAAGCTATGGATTCTCGTTGTTTTACAATTTATTTAGGTCTAATAAATCGGGTAATCGGGGCACGAATTCGGATCCCGCGGCGTCGAATTCGGACGGTCCGAGCGATTCGCCGATCGGAGCCGGACCGAGAACGGGCCGGATTAGCGACAGAGGAATATCGCCGGCGACGTATCCCAACCACGAGGACGAAGAGCATTTCCACGACGCGTCGAGCGGGTGCTCGACGCCGTCCTCGCCGATGCATAACCGGACCACAACAACTCCGGCGGCGATGCCGCACCACAGAGGCGGCCGGAGAACTCGCTTCAGCCGGAGTCCGTCGGGGATGACGTCTTGTTTGAACCCGTTGGTGTGGGCCAGCCCCAATCGGGGCTGGAGCCGGAGGGAACTGGATGTGGTGTATCCCGGCGAGACTACAGCGGCTCCGGGGAACTCTCACGGCCAGAGTACGACGTCGTTTTGCAAGAACCGGTCAAAAAAACTCGCGGATTTCGGGCGGTTCCGTCCCAATCGTTGAGTGCTACCAAATTACCACTTTGGGCTTAATGTCCAAATTTCCCGATTCAATTTTGGTTAGTAGTGCCGGAATATCATGCTGATATTTTGTGCAGTCCAAATCTAAGAAAACTGTCTAGGTTCAATTCATACGCGGTGTAATATATGTTTGTACACTCATATACATTTACACAAAATTAATTACACTTTTGTGACTAGCATATACAATAGGAAAGTGTTGTGAATGCAAGTTAGCATTTTGTATACTTGATCCATTGTATCAATTACACTTTATGACTATACTATACCAAGGGTTCATATAGCTTTATCTCTTCATTCTTATTTAGAAGCCAATGTGTATAATCCTCATATAGTCTTGTGGTTTAAAGTCTATGGCTAGATGCTTTTGTTGAGATAGGCAACATAGGTCTTCACGCGCTTATTGTAATCAAGGACTGAAAAAAATATAAAAAACTAAAAATACAAAGACCATCACTAGCTCTAGTCACATGACTTGTTGGCTGTTTCAACCAAGAACTCCTCTCCATCCTAACAGGGGATTTAGCGGGAGGGGGGGGGGGATGAGCCTGCTTGGGAGGTGAAGAAGAAGACATTCTTGTGAGTGACACTGGGGTGTGGGAGTAATATTTCGATGATTCCATGCAATTCATATATAAAGATTCCCTTTAGAAAAAAAATTCTCTAGAATCTTTAAATATGTTTTGTGTATAACAATTAGTTTTTGATCATTGCTTGTTGTACATACCCTATAAACCCCGAAGGAGTTCATGCAGCCTTGCAACATTTTTCAATCTGCACTTATCCAAGCACTATTGATCTTCATTGATTATATTAAAATTCCTTGATCAGTTCTTGAGAGTTGAGATTGTCATATTTTATAAGGGCTTCATGTTTCTATCAGCACCCGTGTCTTAAAGAGAGTTACTGCTGCTGAGCTTTTATTCCAGGTTGTAAAAGAGCTAGAATATGGATGTTCCTTTATCTTTTGTTCTAATTTTAAGAATTTTTTTTATTCTTCAAAATGTTCTTGGAGTGTAGTCTCTTCAAAAAAAGAAGTAATCTTTGAGATGTTTCCTTGTGTGTGTAAGATAATCGCTTTATACTAAAGTTCTCGAGTTATAAGATTTACCAGCATTGTTGAATTCAAACTTAGAGAGAGAAAATATCGGATATTATTGTTTGGGGACTCAAAGCTGGAACAAATATTGAGTCAAATCAATATACATTATTGTGCTCTTACTTGTTTTATGTTTTATTTTTCCTTGGTTTTTAGTTGTACTTTGCTTTTCCTAATCTATTGATCTTATTGGTTGAAAATCATGTGAAAAACTTCTAATGAATCAACAACTTTATTCACACCCTCTAAAGTTGGATCATTTATTGTTCAATATGACCTAAACATGCATTATCTTTGTCGCATATCAAAGTCTTCAAATCATTACTTTTGGAGTCTTGGACACCCAGAAATGACGACATATACTTGATCATGATTAAATTATATTTCTTGTAATATCAAACTTATATGGGATGATAATTGTCTTTGACTTTTGTTAATTATCATTGTGTTTGATCATATAATTAGGAGCTACCGTCTTTAAAATTTAAAGGGATTCCGAGTGTGGGAAGGTGTCAATGACAATTTAGGTAATATCACTACGTGCCTAATATATTTTTCGTGACAACACTTTACATTGAATGAAATGGTTTCCCAAGCACGTGACTATCATTTGGGTTCTATTGTACAAATCTATTGATTGATCGATATTTCTTAAAGTAAGCGGCATTTGAATTTAACTCATGGTTCGAGACACTTGATGCAAATCAATATCTAGTAACAATTTTATTAAATTTGTGGTCAAAATTGGCAGTTTTGATTGTAAAAAAGTAAAATCTGGATAAATATTTTGAGATAGAATTAGTGCTAATAATGATTGTCTTCCATCTTCGCAAATACCAACTACACATATTTTATTAGATTTTTTGATATGCCAAACATGACAAACTATATAAGACTAAAAGTAGATTGCAGATATACTTTATGTAAGGAGATAAATTTGTGTAGTTTGACTTTTTAAAAATTAAATTGGTTGAACTTTGAACCTGAGTTATATATACAAAAACTAACTTGTATATTAATATAATAACAAACAAGTATAATGATTTAGGAGATATGTGTACGCTGACTTTATCCATACATGAAAGTAAAGACTCTTATACAATGAAATAATATTGTAAAAATTTTCTACAACATATGTAATAGAATTATATTTTAAATATATATACTACTCCGTATGCAGTTTCTACTGATAAAAAATTGTTCACTTAAAATTAAAAAAAGAAAAGGTAAAATTGAGACAAAGTTCTATAGGTGACGAAGGTGGTATTCGATCATTTCGTTTCGAAATGAAGTTAATACTCTGTACAATATTGTTTTCAAAATAATCTTTTCCGCATCAATCACAAATATACAGTTCAATACTCATACGTAATATTTTGTATAAAAATTGTGAATAATCAAAATTTAAAAGGTAACAAAATGTATATATCGTATGACCAATTGTAGGATAGTTCTTTTAGATCTCGTTCTTTTAGATCTGTGTCAAATATTTATTACGAGTACAATGAAATTCATTTCACAAAATATTTTTCTACCTCAATCTTCGAGTATTTGTTTAATTTTGATTTTTTATAATAATTTATTTTCAACATTTGATCTATAATCAAATAAATCATACAAATTATATTGTATATTAATGAAATAAAGTAATATTTTAAAATTTTTTTATATAAAAAATCTAATAAAAATATTTTTATATCAAAATCTAATATCACATTTATTTAATTTAGAGACAAAATAGACAAATATTCAGAGATGAAGGAAATATTTTAGTTTTACGCTTGTCTTTATTTTAGCTAAAATGTGTATTGTGCTAATCGTTAATGTACATTCTATATAAATCTAATATTCTAATGAGCATTAAATCGTTAATGGTCTTACCTAAGTTCAAGTTTCTCCGGGAGTGGATGCGTTAGCTCACTTTGCATCATTAAATTTAAAATATACTCCGTATAAAGTATTCAAAATAAAGAAAAAATAAATATGCCAATTAAGTACTCCTTATTTGCCAAATAAACAAATACTCCCTTTATTTCAGTTTATTTGTCAAAATTATTTTTTTCAATTCATATAAAATGGACTTTAAACATGAATTAAACAAAAATAATAATGTATATTACTCCGTAGTATTGAGTATAAAATATTTTCAAAATTTATTTACTTGTACGAATATGCAAATTGAGACTAATTGAATACATGTTGACTAAGGACATTGACTTGAAATGCAGCATTTGCCCTAGCCATTTCAGTCGCAAGGTAGAGTGAAAGAGACAGCGCGCCAACCGAGAGAGAAGAGCAATGGCGTCGGCTTGGAGGTCGGCTCTACTCCGTCACGTTCGAGTCCCGGTGACGCAATCCCTCTCATCCAACGGATCGCGACTCATCTCCGGCCGATGGATGTCGTCGGTCGACGGCCACCTATCCAAGGAGCAAGTCTCCGATAGAGTCCTAGACGTCATCAAGAACTACCCCAAAGTCGATCCTTCCAAGGTATCATATCTGTTCTTCTCCCTTCGTTTTGAAGCCAATTACAACTAGAAATTACAAAAAAAAAGCACGGTTTCATTTATGAGATCTAGTAATTTATGAACCTGGATGCGTGTGTCTTTGCGTTCTGATGAAATTGATTGGTGAAAAACGCTATAGGCTAATGTTGCTGAACAATTAGGGGTTTGTCTTGGGGAGCTTGTGCAATTGGGGAAATGCTCACTCCAGTAATACTCCCTTTGAAATTAGGGTTGCACAGTTGCCCGAACATGATTTTAAGATAAGAGAAATTTTGTAGCTGAAATTTATGCAGAGGAACATAGAGCAATAATGTGAATGATACAATTCTTTCCTTAAATGAAAAGCAGAATCTTATCTTTGACTACAAGCTAAAAGGATTGGAGGGACTATGTGATATTTCTAGTAAAGCTGCCCATAGTAACAATGATAATATAAGAGAAAGAAATCAAGATAACAAGAGAACTAGTCGATAGAGGAAGTGGTGGCTCTACACTTCTATCCATAGTTATAGTATAGAATATTGCGACATGCACACGGGCCTGGAGAGTTCAAATTGCATCCCCAACCCTAGATCTAGCATTATACTATTATTCCATGTATGTAAAAGAAAACAACATAAACAAAAATCACTTCTCATAAAATATAATTTTAGGGGGTGGGGCAATCTGCACTCTCAACATCTATAGCTATCAGTTTTGGGATATATGCAACTTTGTGTCCATTAATTCTGTAAAGGGCTAACAGCCTAAGTTAGCATATTTGTTTCCCTATACATCTCATGACCCAGCATATGTTATGGTTCAAAGAAAAATTTTCTTTTTCTCTACAGCATTCACATTTACCAGATTATTTGTAACATTATTTTCTTTCTCTACTATGAGGGGTTCTTTAGGGTAGCGTTTAATCATGTTTAGGAAAATATGTAGCTTAAAAACTGAAGTAGTCGGTGATGGTCTCATATCATGGTCTTTTTTATTTGCTGAGCTTGGGGTTATGAGCTGAATTTGAGGATTTTTCCAATCAGTAATAAAAGAAAGGGCTAGTTTAAGAGAACACAAATGAGAATGTGTTGGATTTTAAATACGGGGTAAGTTCATTGAAAGTCAATGCTGCTAGGATTCATGAAGCATCGAAATGAATACAGACTGGATACGGAGATTTGAAAAATTCATAAAACGTAGGACATATACATGGCAGGGATACGACTCAATAAATACATGAAAAAAAGCACAACATTAAGTTTTCAGTCATAGGTCCAAATAAAATTCTTGCAAACATTTAAAGTTTCAATCAAACTCAAGTCATTTAAGAATTTATGTCTAGCACTATCTTCCGAGTCAAATAACATGGCCTCTAGTTGTGGGCGAGACAAATTTGCAATATCAAAAGTTCCATCATTCTGTATATACATGGAGTTAAAACCATCTCATACACTGCTCCACAAATTTTTTCACTTGTTATATTTTGGAGATATCTGGTGCCATTTTTCTAAAGACGCCTCATTGGGGTCGCAATCACTCTATAGTTCTTTGTGAAACCTTAGAAGCTTGCGTATCCCACACCCCCCTCAATGAACTTGGTGGTTTTGCTTATACTTGGAGTTGTTCACGGCCTTATTTTTAAAAGGCCCCATGCCTTATAGAAATAGCGGCATTGGAGCCTCAATGCACATTTGAGGCCCATGCATCAAGAACATGATGCACATATAAATGGATAAAAGAGTAGTATCTCTATAGTAGTTCGAGGTAAAGGCGTGCGCCTCATGGATCCAAAGTGCACTTGTATGTTAAAATTCAATTACTTTGTATATCACTTGTAGTTGATATCATTAATCACCGAAACACGATAACATCATAAACAACCAAAATTTCCGAGATCAAATATTAGATTAGAACCAAATTTTGAAGTCTATGGCCATGTTCTCTTCACCCGATCCCGATCTGATTGGTTTGATCTGATTGGAATATGTTCTTGTCTGATATGGTTTGGATGTAGTTATATTTAGAGCTATTTTTGATCTGATCTGATATGATCTAATTCCAATAAGAATAAGTAATAAGTTAAAAAAATAAGTTGAGGAGAACATGACCTAAATATAAAACCAATCAAAGTTCAAAGTGCAAAGACAAAGGTTCATAACAATTACTGATTTACTACAAGAAATATTAAAATTTAACAACTGAAATTGACAAAACAAATCATGGAATTTGACAATCCAAAATCAAAAGAGAATTCTAAAAACAGAAATAAGCCCCTTGGAATCTCAATCAAAATTTTAAAAATTAAAAAAATCTTCAAGGGAAAAAGAGGAAATGATGTAATTCGTACTTAAGGAATAACTAAGAATCAGAGCCAAAAAGATTTGAAGGAAGAACAAAGGAATGGAAGATTACCGCCAAGCCAAAAGTTTTAAAATTTCCGTCAACAAGAATGAACCGAAAACCAGAAGAAAACAGAAATGGAGGGAGAAGGAATGAAGGATAAAGAGAGAAGTTTGCCTGGGGAGAGAATCGCCTGCTCTTTTCTGCAACTGTGCTAAGAAAAGGGAGGCGAGGTCTACAATTTATTGATTTGGCTCTGTAGGATGTGTGTTGTTTTACCAAAAGTTGCCAGTAGGCATTATCTAGGAAGCGGAAAATTTGCAGCGCCTTTTGCCCGGCCAAATGCACAGGAGAAGCAATGGAGGCCGGTCCTCATGAGTTGCGCTTTGCCTCACAGTCCTATTGTGGTTTTTTGAATGACTTTGTGCACTAAGGTGTGTCTTGAGCACACTTTTAAAACAAAGTTTACAACAGCATATTTTTTTTCAAGAAGACAGGACCAAGATAGGAACCCCGTGTTTCTCCAAAACACACTTTAAATGTTATAAAAATAGGTAATTAGTACTTTATAATCGAAAAACTAACTCAAAGTATTGCAAGTGTTCTGCCTAGGTATGCTATAATCATAATGAAAAAAAGACTAGCACAAACTTTGTCAAGTGTGGGCTGAAGACTTCATTCCTTAAGTGCTTGAAAGGCAGATGAGATTTTAGACAGACTAAACATCACCAAAAAATGAGTGGCCATGATGTGATTGGTATGTTGTTTTATTTGTATCGGTGGAGGCATCCAAACTTGGTTATACCAAGAAGCTAGGGCGAAGGATGAATTTTGTAAAATATCTGGCCTGTAAAGTTCGTCCAATAAATCCTCACCTACCGAAGGAAGAAACTTGTCCTTCACCGTTGTTGACTTGCATTCCAAACTAAAACATTGCTTCTCAATTTCATCACTTTTGCAATTCGGGTAGCAATACAGCCTGACCAACCTGGTTAATAGTTGATAGCTATTTGTATTAGAAGATTTTAAAGTTTTTCAAAAGGATGTTTGGTATCTTAGTAAATTGTTTAAATTGTAAACTAAAATACTAATACAAAAAACATTTTTTTCTTTCAAAATGCTCCTCTCAGCACTCTGCATTTGAGATTTCCACTACCATATTGCTAATTCAAAACACTAATTCACCAAGCAACTCAAAAGAGCATTTTGACTTCCCAAAATGCTAAAAACAGAGCATTTTGTGCATGAAAATGTTGTTTACCAAACATGCCCATAATAGAGTTTTAGAAAACTTTTCTTGTTTTTCATTAGGAGTGAAATGGTGTTACGAAGTAAAAGAGAATACTGTCGAATTGCATCACTAGGCTAAATTATGTGGATTGTGGAAGTGTAAAATAACAATTCCAGTGAAATGTCGCAGAATAGGGTCTGGGAAGGTGTGGATGCTGACTTTACCCATACTCGAGAAGTAGAGAGGCTATTTCACATTCACGGAATGTAAAACAACCCATAACAAAAAGTAAAATTGTGACTAACACCTTACACCTTAGCATTACAGAATCCATATAGCAGGATGCAGATAAGTCTCTCCTACACTACAGGCTGCAGCTTACCAATTTTGTTACTTACTGCAGTAACAGTGTAAGCACTTGTATCAACGTCAGATGAATTTTAAAAATTGATATTCCAGTGTCCACTTTTGTTGACCTCGTTACAATGTCTAAAACCTTTGACCATATATCCGGTCAAGGACACACCATGTATTGTGTCTATCTGTCTGGATACGACTTCTCACTTTTGGAGTGTTTGTGCATAGGTATGCATGCGAATTTGTCTTTTCTTTTTTACTGATGGTCATATAAAATACAGAAAAGCTTTTAAAATTTTTTACATTAAACTCGTTGCTTATACTGATCACAAAGAGCTTCTACAAGTGTATTCTAAACCATAGGCGTGCATTCACTTCCATCCATGAATTATTTTAAATTAGAGAATTGTATTAAGTAGTCTTTTATGTGTTGCGTGTACCTAAAATATTCAGTTGGTATTTTTGTTTGAGGTACACTAGTGCTTCCACTTTTCAAATGGGTTCTCCATTTTACCCTCCTCCTTAGTACCGTGTTTGTCTAACCTTCTTATACATTCATCTGTGAAGTTCTGAATTGGAGTTCATATGCATGTGGTGTCTGTACTCTGTACTTTAACTCTGACAAATCTCCACAATTACGTCATTTGGCTGGTGATATTATTCTTCCTTTAAAAATAAAAATAGGGATGGTCTTGGAAAATGCCTCTCTACTTTAAATTAAGGGTATTATGTACGTACACACCCTACCCAAACCTTGCTCCGTACTTGTGTGGTATTCTATTGGGTTTGTTTGTTTGTTGTTTAAAAATGGGGGAAGTGTATCATATTTTTAAATTTCCAACTGCCAACAGGTAACTCCCGACGTCCATTTTGAGAAGGATCTTGGCTTGGACAGCTTAGACACAGTTGAGATTGTAATGGCACTTGAGGAAGAGTTCAAGCTTGAAATTCCGGACAAGGAAGCGGTTAGAATCGACTCTTCCAAACTTGCAATTGAGTATATTCGTAACCATCCAATGTCAAGTTAAGTGTTTTTTTAGTAGTTTGGGAATGGGGTTCCTTCAATTCCCACCTGTATTTGCCTTTTGAATGTGTAATCCTTCATCCATAAACAAAGAAACATCTAATGATCATATTGTGTAAGCTTTGTGANGGCGTTGCTTTGTTTTTGCATATTTTGGTGTTCAATATTTGAAAGATGCATTGGCAAATAAAAATGTATGCATGAATTGTCATTTCCCTTCATTCCTTTTAATGGCCACTTTTAATTTGATGCCGAGTTGCGTAGAAAGATGAGTAATGCTAGAGTTACATACAATTTAGACACAAACTACACAAATTTGTCATTTGTGTATTTAACTTTTTATTTTTTTAATTATTTAAAATCATTTTATTTACTTGAAAAATTGTACAAATAGTAAATTTGTGTCTAAGTTATTTGGGACTCTAGTATTACTTTAGATAAATAAATGTTCACATCTTCTAGTACACAATGTCCATATGGGGAAATGCTACCATAAGTCCATTATACTCTAAGGTAGTGTTTCGTTCAACTTATTTTTCTACTTATTACTTTTTCTTATTATAATTAGATCAGACCAAATCAGATAAGATCAGTCCAGTTCAGAAACAATTTTAATTATAATTGCATCATATTAGACCAGATCTAATCAGATTTTTAAAAAATTTGATCAGATCATGCAAACGGAACGCAGACTAAGAGACAAACATTGTCGATGAGAAATTGTTGTCTATGAAATATTAGTGGTGTTAATTTTAGTGTCACTTGTGGTGTAAGTGTACCATAATCTGTCTTCATGGGTTTAAGACCGTATCCTTCTCAATCGCTTAGCTTCCCAAAGGTTCTTACTGAAGTATTGAGTGTCCTCAAGAACTCATACAATGTAGGTGATGACATGGAGAGCTTTAATTTGGAAGCTACGTATGTTTCCTAAAGCACTAATATAATGCTTCCATTTTATTACATATTACCCCCTCCGTCCGGAAGAGCATCTCAAATTAAGCGTGTCAAGTCAACACGGGAAGAGCATTTCCGGACGAAGGGAGTATTAAATATTTAAATATAAACTCTGCGTAACATGTACTCCCTCTGTCCCTAAGTATTTGTCCATTTTTGACTTTTTTAGTCAAAATTATTAAATTTTGATATCAAATTAAATAAAAATGATATTAGATATTAATATACAAAAATAATTTAATAATATTTATTACATCAAATATTTTCAAAATATTATTTTATCTAATTAATATACTATATATATATATACATATATATAATTTAATTATAAGTCAAAGGTTAAAAACAGTTGCAAAAAAAATCATAACTTTATAAAAAAGAAATCGGGATTAGAGTTAAAAGTTGCTTTAGTCATGAAAAAAATATGGTAAAAAAAATTAGATGTAAAAAAAATCATAACTGTATAAAAAAGAAATCGGGATTAGAGTTAAAAGTTGCTTTAGTCATGAAAAAATATGGTAAAAGAAATTAGATGTACATTAAACAATAGAATAAAAATGGGAAGAGCTTAGTTGAAGCATTTTGGGGTGCTGACGCTCTAAGAGGGTCCAACCTTAATTTGCTTTTCTCTTTGTGCTTTTAGCTTTAATGTTTTGCAAAAATTATTTAATTTAATTAGTTTTAGTATTTTTAAAATTAATTTGCACCATCAAAAAATTATTTAATGCTTGTTTGGGGTCCAATGAACTAATATTTGATGTACTACCATATACTCCGGGGTAATAATGATTGTGGGGTTTTTTAGCACGATTTATTTTATTGCAATAAATGTAATGTTTGTTTTATGTACTTTTTTACGATTTAAGCACGAAGAGTCGATGTCTTTATAGAGTTCTAAGTTCGTGACCTTTCATTTGAGATAACTACACTTATGTCATTTGGCAATAATGTCTTTGATATTATTATTATTGTTGTTGTTATTATTATTTTTATTATTATTATTATTATTTATTTTTACTATTATTATTAATTAAGATTATTATATTTAATACTCTCTCTGTCCACCATAGATCTTCCCAGTTACTATTCACAGGGTCAAACTTCACTTACTTTGTTTACTCATTTTTGCTAGTCATTTCGTAAAATAATATAATCTTGTCACCTCTAGTTTTATAGAACTTTTCATGTAGTTTATTACTATTTGAATTTTATTTTAAAATTTTACTTCTATAATCAATTAAATTGAATTGAAAATAAAGTCGGTCAAGTATCGTAACGCGTAATGGGAAGATCTTAGGTGGACGGAGGGAGTATTTAGTAAAAAAAGACTTGTTTGTTTTCTTGCGTTTTATTTGGCTTGAAAAGTGGGAAACCACAACCCCTCTACTTAGCCTATAATCAATCATCGTGATGGATTCGATTTATTCGGATATTTATAGATCTCGAAGTTTACCATATCATATCATTAATTTTGTGTATTCTTCTTACGCAGTGACTCTTGTTAATAATATATTTTCAAACTCATTTTTCGTGAAAAGTTAAATGTTTTTAGGCGGGGAAATAATAATTACAATTAAGGTTCATTTGGTATACAGAATTGAGTGAATTGGAAATGAATTGAAAATTCAAATTCTACGGAATTGATTTGGACAGTTCATATTTGGCACTCTCAATTCCAAATTCACATATTTTTGTGCTATCAAACAGCAGAATTGAAATTCTTGTTCTCAATTCCAATTTTGTATTTTGAATTCTCTGTATCAAACAAAACCCTAATGACATTAAAATAGAACAGTTCATTTGATATGATCCAATCATAACACACCAAAACTCCACGTCCATAAGAGTACATGAATGATTAAACAGTTAATTAACACATAAGAGTAAAATGATACGATTAAAACCAGTTAACTAACACCCCAAAACACCACCACTACCTGCACAATCACATTTATGCCAAAGAAAAAAAATCTTTTCTTCTCCTTTTCTAAATTTAAAAACACCATTAAATGATAAAAATAAAAACAATTCAATGTTTGAGTTGGGCAGTTTGAAGGTCATGGACTAGAGTGAGAGCCATGGCGGACAACTGGAAGGTGTCGTTGTTCCGCTTCTTGAGCGGAGAGGCCTCGCCCCTCCGCTCCTCGAACCCGTCCTCGCACGTCGAGGCCGCGTCGAGGACGGCCGAGAGGTGCACCGAGGCCTCCGCCAGCCGCCCGGAGTTGTACTCCCTCATCGCCGCCTTGGCGTCCGAGACGGCCCCGGAGTACATCTCCAGGCAGTCGCGGAGGCACAGCTCCGCGTACCTGTCGCGCCTCGGCGCCCTCTTGTCCCTCAGCATCTGCTTGATCCGGCACCGCGTGTCCGTCACGTTGTACCGGATCAGGCGGATGCTGATCGACGTCAGGCCGCGGAGCGTCGCGCACCCGCTGGCGGGCGCCGCCGCCAGCGCGGCGGCGCAGAAGCCGTACTGGACGTTCGAGTCCTCCTTCGCCAATGCTTTGCATGTTTTCTTGATCAGGTCTTCTGCTGCCGCCGTGCCGTGGATGACGGAGGCGGCGGCGAGGAGGAGGGAGAGGAGGAGGAGGGAGGAGGTGTGTGGTGGTGGTGGTGGAGGAGTTGTCATTTTTTTCATGTGTGGTTTAATGTGGTATGGCATGCTCTTCTTGTTTTTGGTGTTGTTTAGGGTTATTTATAAGGGCTAAGGTGGTGGATGTTTTGGTTCGGTTTAACCGCACCAAACCGGGCATGTGATTCAGTTTCAATTGCGTATCCATTTCATATACACATACCCGGTAAATGATACAACCCGAAAGCCCATTAAAAATAAGTTAAATACGACCGGATTTGACCGGCTCGTTAAAATAAGATTTACTCCCTCCCTCTCCAATGTTCTCGTTTTAATTTGATTATGAATTTTGACTGATTTTATTTTCAATTCAATTTATTTGAATGTAGGTGTAAAATTTAAAAATAAAATTTATATATTTAAAAACTACATCAAAAGTTCTACAAAACAAGTGGTGACAAGACTATATTATTTTAACAAATACCTAATGAAAATAGGTAAAGAAAGTGATTAAAGTTTGACCGTGTGAAAAGTAAATAGGAAGAAAATTTTAGGCCGGAGAGAATATTTAATTAGAGCCACACATGTATTGAAACTAGGTGTTTAGAAATCTTTGTTCTAATTATTAATTAAAATTCAATAGGTTGTATTCAATATAACTTCTAGTTAAATATTCCTATTAGGATTAGATTTTAGGAGATCTATATAAATGAAACACATTCCTGTGATTTTTTGGAGCGATTGAGAGGGAATGTTATATAAAAGATACACTGATTTAGAGCCATACATGGAACGTTGGAAACCTAGACTTGAAGTTTTATCATTACAATTCGTAGCAATATGTCTTATTATGTTATTGGCTGGTATTATTTACATGTAGTGATTTTTAGAAGAGAGTTATTACATGAATGCAAGTCTGCGGAATTGGAAAGTTTTTCCTGAATTGAGTAAACATATCTGATGTTATTCTTTATGCTTTTTATATTTGATTTACATACAATTTCATTATATTTGATTAAGGAAGTAAATATCAAAAAGTTGGGGTAATCTAAAATCAAAAACAGCCTTGAAGTTGCAATTTGGAAACTGCAAAGGGTGTGGAAGAAAGGAAATACCATGATGTTTGGGGATATTTCGCAATTACAAGAAAAACGAAGGAGGTGTGGGAAAAAAACAGTATGACTTTGCCCCCAAATTATCATTGATTCAGTTTTACATCTTTATCCCCTAACAAAGTCCTACGACTTGTGGTGAGTTATGGGAAAAAGCATTTTCTTACTTCACCTCATTATAATGCTTTGTTTGGTAGCTAATTCATTAAATTAAACACAAAGTTATCCAATACTTTAAGTTTAAAAACATCATTTATATTCTTACATAAAAGTATATAATATGCCCTCCATGATGGGATTAGTTACATTAAAGTAAAATCATTCTTTACTTTTTACGTTTCGTTTCAGTTCCTGATATTATTAGGGGTTTATCTTTTTAACCATTCAATATTTCAAAGCTAGTTTTTACTTTTTAGAACATATATTTTTTTAGTAGTCTAAGTTAAAAATTATTAATGATAAAAAACAAATTAATTAGCATCAATTTCAATTTAACACAATTTAACACTGTTACAATTTGTATTCATTACCTTTTGGGTTTTTAGCCCAGCCCAAATGGTGTGCCCAATTGAAACAGTAAGACATGACATGGCGGTTTATACAGTATGTTGAAGAGACGTGTGACTATAAGATTGTTAACCTAAACACTCTATCCAATATCCATCCTTGGAAAGTGAGAAAAAAAATGTAAAATTGTTTAGGAGAAAAAGAAAGAAATATTATAATAAAGTCATTTATTCATTTCATTTTAATAGAAAGAAAAGTGGAAAATTAACTTTGAGACACAAAAAAAAAAGTGATCAAAATGTTATTTATGAACAGAATTAGTATATTTGCCTGGAGCCGTACATTGGACTCATTACACTAATAATTACCGCAGCCGAATGTAGCGATCAATATTGAAACGAAACCAAACGACAAACACCCTATATACTTGAGGGGACAGTGAAGAGGGTAACTTATGGAGACTTAGGACCCTCCAACAAGAATACATTGGACTCATAGGTCAAATGTCCAAACTAAAGGGTACATTGAATGTGTTTTCAACTCACTCAACACCATGTCCATAGGGGCAATGTGAGATAGATCAAAGTTGTCATATGGAAAATGGTGCTCATAGGGGCACTCAAACCATGTTGTTCAAGTTATACCTACATTAGGGTAGGTATAGATGGTACCCTACATAGAATGTGTACTCAACTCACTCTTTGAGAGTAGCCTACCCTACAAAGGGGTACTCACTTTACACGACAATACCTTAGCAGGTTAGGCTATCCTCAAGGTGAATCCCCTTTAAACCGTTTTGTTCAACACAACGATACCCTTAGTAGGGTAGGCTACCCTCAAGGAGAATAATGGAACGAGGAATGCCATTTTTTGAAAAGCAACAAAAAGCAATGGTAGCAAGCCAAATTTAACTCGCAACCACTGCTTTTTAACCCAAACAAATAATAATGCTAGTAATGTTTTAAAAAGCATCCAGAAGGACGAGCCCCTGCTTAAAATTCCCGTTTCAAAATTATATATATATATCTGTGAAAAGATGAGAAGGGGTTACCCTAAACAGCTAGGCAGGAATTTTAAAATTTCTACCAAAATACAAGAAGAATCTACCTGCCCTAAAGGAGGAACTTGTCTAGTTTCCAATGCTTGTTAGATCCGGGAGGCCGGAAGCTCTGTAGCTGCAGATTGGAGCTTCTGCACATCTCATTCAATACAGAATCACCTTTCTCAGTTTTGATCGCCTCCAAAGCACTTCCAAGCACTTCAGCAGCCAGCCCTATCTCTCGAAGCCGGCCTTCCTCTTCCCCTCCCACATATATCAAATTCCCAATTTCTTTTAAAGGAATCACATTTTCCAAAATCACTTTGGCAAAGAGACGCCCAAGAAACTCTGCAGCTTTAGGGGCATCATTAACGGCGTCCTCCAAGGTACTAAGAACAGATTCGAACCTGCCAATGGAGAAAATGGGAAAGCAGCGCTTGGTCAAACACCAAGGAAGTCAACAGTTATTTGTAACAAAGATTCGGAAATGACTACTTAGTACTTACCCCTGAACGAGTTGATCTTGACTTAGTATAACATCTTGAGATTTAATCAAATCAACAATGAGATTCCCAAAAAGGTCCCTCTCGTTTTCCTTCCTCTCAAAAGAATCCGTAATCCATATAGAAATCATCGACGGATAGAAGCTTGGAGAATCGAGTTCTTTCACACACAAGGCAACTTCATTCTCATCCCTAGCACTGTCATTAATTCATAGTCCATAATGAAATAAGATATTAGAATACAAGAAAAAAATAGTCAAGGCATGATATATAGCGGACATTGTGCATGAGTCCAGTATATAAAACCTGTAGAATTCTTTAATAGCATTCATAGACTTGTCTCTTAGGTGCTCTTCTGGCAATGTCCGATCCAAAGGAACATTTTGTGCAAAGCCAGTCCCTCCCCCACGTAAAGGAGGTGATGTGGGAGTTGTAACTGAATCAAAACTGTGATCCCGACTACCCCCGCAAGGAGCATTTCGCTCTTGTGTACCAGGATGATCATATTGACTAGATAACCTCTCTGGCACGTATCTTGGGACCACATCCTCCCTCTGGCCATAACTTGTCCGATCTGGCACATGACCATATCCATTTAGACCAGACGAAATTCTTCGGGCATCACCTGGATTCGGAGCATTGTCTGTTGTAGAAGAGATATTTGGTGTGCCTCCATGTCCCCTGAAAGACATTCCTCTTCCAAGACCACCTTGTGGTCCGAGCGTGATCTCATCACCAACAGATCTATGTGGAAGAGGAACCGAAAAGGTCCTGTTATCAAAAGAATGATGCCTTTCCTCCATACGAACATCCTGACCACCAAAACCCCGCATCTGTGAAGACACGGGTCGAAAACTGCCACCATGGGCCAAGCTTTGAGAAGGAAACATACTTGAACCTCCTCTGGATGCAAAGTCCACGGGTTGACCCCTTTTAACAGAAGAGCCCATGCTAGGAGCTCGAGACAAACGACTAGATTGTGCGTGCCTTTCTTGAGCTGCATCCCTATGTACTTCCTCAATCTTTTTAGGACCTTCAACTTTTCTCCGCTGCTGCCATTTATTCTTCCTCAGATCGATTGCATCCTTCAGCATAAATCTTACTCTGGATGAGAGCTTCATGTTGTTTGACATGTTTGCCATCACATCAAAATAACAATCAATATACTCCTTGGCTTTCGGATGATCTATCATCTCCCCTATTGTGCTCATCAGCTTACACAAAGCTTCAATGTTTTCTTCATCAGGTTCAGGATTCTGATACTCACTTAGCAGTTTATTGATGCATGAGTGCATTATCCTCTCTGTCAACATTTTCTTTTTGTACAACTCCCCAATCAGCCGGATGTTACCCAACATCCGCCTTCTTGCTTTTAGTCTTTTATCCTCTCTCTCTTCATCTGAAAGTTTAGTTTCACCATCCCCATCAGTTGTATTAGCTTCCTGCTCCTCACGTTCACCCCTCTCAAATTCCTCTTGGCACTTGTTCAGAAGCAGCCTCTTAAAACTGACCTTCTCAGTGTCTACAATCAAATCAGGTAGTTCTGATGCAAGGTGTTGACAAAAGTTGGCATACATCTCACAAAAAGTTGGTTCCATCAGCGCTTTATCAAAAATTTGTGAAATAACGCCAGTGAGTGTTGTTACATTATCAATGTTTACATCTTTAACTTGTTGGAATAATTTTTCAAAATTTTGAGGAGTAAGCTTGTTCAGAATTCCTTTTAGTTGTCTCTGCTTTGCTTCCTCCTCATCTGTAACCTTGCCAACTTCATACCTCTTCTCCGCTTTGTGCATCAATTGTGAAGGAGCCTGAGGAGAAGGCATTATACCCTTTTGGAAACCACTTCCGCGTAGCCACCTATCAGCATCAATGCCGCCTCTTTGCACCCCTCCCGGAATAGACATGGACTGCATAGGCCCAGTAAGGATACCTCCGGCAAAGTGAATTGGTGACGGTGCACGAGGATTCCTCAATACACCAGAGTTACTTACTTGGGCAGGTTGGTATCCCATGTGACTGACTCCAAAACTCAAATCAGGCCGCATATCCCTTCCGGGCATTACAGATCCACGTGGCTTATTCCGTTTGTCTTCTTCTGTCATGCCATTCCCACGACGTTCTGGTCTAGACAAGCTAGATGGTCGGTCAATAACCCTAACAGGACTTGGGTAAGAATCACGTGAAAAGTTGGCATTAACAACCATCACTGCCTCTGCAATGTCAGAGGTAATTTCAAACCCCTCTGGAAAATCAGTACATTGATCAGCAAATTTCAGTAGGAAATCTCTTGAATACTTCTTGAATCCAGTCACATCACCATCTTCACTATCACGCTTGAATCCACCAACAACTTGCTTTCCAATTCCCACAGTTCCCAGATTTGGACTGGAGACATCGGCAGCATCTTCCCAATCATCTGGCTCTACTTTCTTGCTCGGTGTGTCGTGCACAACTTGAGGGGTAACTGGATTTGAACTATCATTAGTGGTGCTATCCATACTTCCTACAGAAGTGGCACTCTCTTTCTTTTCTTCTGGACCCTTGTATGCCATATACAGATCAGAAGTTGCACCAGCTGCATCTGCCTTTTTATATAATTCTTTTTTCTTCTTCTTTACTTTAGTAGTATTTTTTTGCACATGCTGCTCCATCAGTAATTTTTCCTTTGCAAGTGAACCAGTTTTATTATTTTCAGCATGCACATCTTCGCCATTAGAGGCAATCATGTAATGAGACTGACAAGACCTAGAATCAGACCCCTGATTCTCATGTGAAGATGTTGTAGCAGCAACTTCTTTACAGGCAACAAGACCATCTCCAGCAGATAGACCTATCAGTAATGTTTTATCATCAGGTTTCACATCATTAGACATCGAAATGGATGAAGATAAAAAATTGTTCTTGGTTTGACCTTCAAGTGAACCTATAGCAGAATTATCAACTTTTTTATGAGTAGTTTCAGTTGAAGTGTCATAATTACTCGAGCTAGTAACTCGCACTGGGGAGCCCTCTTTAGTCTGATTGACATGTTCTGAACACTCCAAGGATTGTGACTTTGAAGAGGCTTCACAAGTGTTGCTGTCTTGATTTAGAGATACTTGCATCTTCATTTCATTCTCATTTTTACTCAAGTTTTCAGGCACCTGAGGATCACCATCAAGACTCAATGGATCTGAAGAATACTGTGCTTGCCTCTCCTTGCTTTTAGCATTAACTGTATCTAATGAAGTAGGATATATGGATGATGGCTCCTTAGAGGTGTCAATGTTGGTGTTAGTCCCCAAAGAAGCAGGCACTTCAACCTCTCTGGTTACTGGTGACTGACAAGGCAAAACTGAAAGGTTTGAAGATTTTTTTGCGTTCTGCAAACTCAAAGAAATAAAATCATACACTATAATCAGCAGTCAAGCAGATAATTTTAAAAAGGAGATAGAATACCTTATCCTGCAATGATTGAGGGGCTGTATGATCAATTTTTTTCTTCCAAACTTCAGGGTTAGGGACATATGCATCTTCAGCAGTGACAATTGGCACTGATATAGAACTCTCAACCAATACTGTATGTGTTGAAGATGAAGTTGATGGTGTGTCCAGAGGTGAACCTATAACCATGGTGGATTGCTTACCAACTGCAGGAATTGATGACCCATCACCAGGTTTTGACAGAGGCACATAACTATGAGATGAAGTCTGAGAATCTCTGTGTTGGAGACCAGAACCTACTCCAAGGAGCTTTGAGTTTTTCTGTGAATCCTTTCCAGTGGGTGAGCTTACAGAGGCTAACTGGTCTTTTTCTACATGTACACCAGAAGCAGGTTTTACTGTCACCTGGACCAGAATTCATGAAGTTAATATCGAGCAACAACTCAATAAGAACATTATGACTTACTTCCTCTGCCGGTCTGCCCTAAAGTTATCTCTTTTTGGCTTGTCCTAGACTTTTCTTTTAAGAGAAATATTTATTTTGCTTGATATGATTTCTTTCATTTCTAAATAAACCAAAACTACACAATACCATTTTCTTAATAAGTGTTTAAATTAGAAAAAAATAAATAGGACACAGGGAGTACAAGTTTCTGGTATGTGATCTATCCAGCTAACGATAGAGATCAGATAAGCTCTTGGAACCTTGAGAAGGATAGTAGACCTGATTAAGTAATCTTGGGGGCTGAGAACTCTGTGTGTTATTAGGCAGAACAGAATTTGGATGTTGGAAAAAGACCATGCTGCTGTATGAACTAGGATGAGTAGGTGGAAATGAGGATAAGGGCTGTGACTGAAATGGTATACTAATATGAGGCCTTGCACCGGATGATCCATCAAGTCTCAATTCTTCATGTGTTTCAGGATGAGTGATCTTTACAGGGATGCGTGATCCTCCAAATTTCCCAGCTTGCTGTTGAGAAAATTGTGAAGACATATTCATTCCCATGTTCCCTAACTGTGGAGGCATCTGTGGACTCATTCCAGATGGAAAATTTAATCCTTGTCCTTGATGCATGATCCCTTGGGATGACATTGGGTGGGGTGGAAAACCAGGAACAAAGACTGTCTGCTGCAAAGGAGGATTTCCAAGTAGGGGCACTTGAACTTGAATAGGCAAAGATGATGCTGACACGGCCTGAGATTGAATTTGAGGACCAAATTGAACAGGGGGAGAAGGTCGCGGGTGAAAAGGCATTTGCAAGTGAATCCCAGGCATTGGATGAGCAGAATGCTTTTGACCTTGGGACACAGGGGACGGAGCTGAAACTGGTGCATCCCTCTTTGGCTGGGCCACAACTTGATGAGCTTCGCCACTGCTAACTTGTTCAACTGTTGTTACAGTGTTTTTTCTTGGCAATGGCTGCTTGGGAACCAATGACGGAGTTGGCAGTGCAGCTACAGCTCTTGACGGCTCATGGCGAACCTGCAAATTAAGTATACAGAGAAAGGGAAAAAAGAACCAAGTTTTCAGGACCATAATGTGCAGATTAAATTTTACTATTTTAGCAACAACACGAGCCTCCGTAGGATTCTACTAGGTTGTTGTTGTTGTTAGCAACAACACGAGAACACAGATCACATGCAAGAAATTCACTTATCAGTTCCCAAATGACAAGGCAAAAACTGATCTGTGTCACAATATATAAATTAGACTGAACTGTCAACCAAAAAAGAATTTGACATATTGTTAATAGCCTCTCTATACTTTGTTGTATGCACAGTGCCACAGTGATTGACAAGAAGAAATTAAATACATCCACAAGTTTTTAAAAAATAGCAACGGGCAAGTGAAACTGACAACAATCAAACACCTGGTCAAATTTCTGCTCATCCAAGTTTGGTGGGGCTGAGCTTGTTCGGGCAGGTACCTATACACAGCATAAATACATTTTCAGGAGAAATGTCTCGTTATCAAATATGCCAAAGTGCAAGAGACTAACAAGTACCTGCATCCCATTCATTAAACCAGGACTTATTGAGCCAAACTGGAGAGGGAAGGTAGACCTTGATACATCTCCGGGAGCTAAAACATCAGAAAATAGCGATCTGGTTAGATTTAACTCCAGAAAAAACCAAAACCCAAAAAACTTTTGGATGAGTTGAATGGATTTATTATCAACTTCCTAAAGGAAATATATAGAAGTGGTACTCCGTAGTACTATACAATAAATAAAGTCTCGTTGAGCAAACCTTTAACAGGAGTTGATGGTCCATTTGAGTCAGAAACATTAGACGAAGAAGATGATGGCACGGATTGCATCATTTTTTGAGGTGCTTCATCAGCAGGCCTAGAAGGAGCAATTGATGAAGGAGCACTAGCAGGAGGAACAGATGCACCTGACACACCTGGAATTATTGTAATAGCATTGAGGGAATGAGAAATGCACACAGCTGTGAGTGGTTAAGACTTAACATCATGTAATTAAAAAAATTCAACTAAGCAAAAGATTTCTCGAATAGAATTCCATACCACCCAATGAATGCTGCTGGTGAGCGCCATTCTGCACTGATCGAGCAGCTGATGGAGCATTGCCCTCCGAAGTGACATTCAGGCCGCCAGCCCGCGGATGTCCTCCTTGTGCATTACTATTCTTCCTATTGAAGCTAATACCCAAAATAAAAATTAAGAGTTGGTCACTCAAAAGACTAATCTTCACAGAAACCCTAAACTTCTCCATATACAAATCCATCGGTTCACTGCGCACACAAGAAATCACACATCATAAGTATAAGCAACCGGTGATCACCTTCTATTGGACGACAGGGAGGGATTAGGAGGTGGGCCGTAGTTGCCGCCCCCTCCGCCTCCTCTACCACCGCGATGAGGATTTGAGCCACTGCCTCTGGCGGCCTTCCTGTACTGAGGAGCGTCGCGAATTTCAGCCCTTGGTTGATGGTTGGACATATATCCAAACCCTCGAAAACAGCAATTTTTCCTGCACACACAGATCCGCCGATCGATTCAACCAACGCCCGCCTCCAATCGGCGGCACACAAAACTCCCCAGAAAACAACCGCCATTAACGGCAAAACACAAAAAAAAAAAAAACAAATTGCAAATTTCTTACTTTCCCCGACACTGGCAGAAAATCGATCACTTTACCTGAAAACGAAGAAACAATGCGATCAAGAAACTAGGGTTTCAATGAAAGTGGCGATTGGCGGGAAGCATCGACACTGATACAGAGAAGGGGAGGAATGGGAGAAGAAAGAGCTTTCTCTGTTCTTGGCGAGAGAGATAGAGAGAGAGACGTCCAGCGGCGGTACAGAGGAAGAGAGAGAGAGAGAAAGAAAGAGAAATAGTTTTATTTTCAGAGGTATGAATTTTAATTTTAATAAAGTAATGATGTAATTAAAAATATTATTAGTGTTAAATAAGGACACGTGTCGTCTGTGTGGGTGTGTTTATTTTTATTTCAAATGAAATTTGATTTTAAATTATTTATGAGTGGTAACAAGTTGAACTCCAAGTACGGCGGAGGAGGTCAAAAATAGGTTTTTCAGGAGAATACGAAACAGAATGAGTCGGAGCGTCACCAAACGCGCCTCCATTCTTATTTACTCCTTCCCGTCTTAAATACTTTGTAGAATGTGTTGCTTTCATTGATCATTTAATAAAATAAGATAATTTCATCGCTTTTTAGTTTGTAAAATTTTTGATGTATTTTTTAAATATGTAATTATATTTTTATTTATATACTAATCTTTAAATAAAATGAATTGAGAAACTTGAGATTTTATTTCGTTTTACGTAAAGTGTAAATGGTTTAGATACATATTAGTCTATCGCCAAATAAAAATTGTATTATTTACTATTTAGATAAAATAGTATTTGATAATATTTTATAAAATAAATCTAATAAAATTACCTTTATATCAATATTTAATATAAATTTCAAGTTATGAATTTCCAAGATTGTCAATTTCAGCTACTAGAAAATTAAAACTAGATAAATACTCAAGAATGAAATTAACATTTTATTTTCTTTTTTCCTTAAAAAAGGAATTGATTTAAATAATTTCTTCCATCCTGATAAATTTTAATCATATATATTTTTTGATTTTAATATTTTACTTAAATTTTGTAAATAATGAATTAGAAAAATTATAGTTAAATTTAAAATTATCGAATTGTCACGAATCGTGACCACTCCTATATTTTTATACATTGCTCCAAAAGATAGAATTGACCGCTTTACACGACTATCTTAGACAGCCCCACCCCCACGCTAGGGCAGTAGTGATGGACACGGACCGATTCTGAATCTAGAATCGATGGTCCCGATATCGCTGGAGAGAGGTATTGCCACTCGTAGCAATGCTAGCGGTTAATAGTACCAAATCTGGAAGTGGCCGAACCGGTTTCGGTCTTGGAACTTTTTTTAAAAAAAATTCAATTTTTGTTGCTTTATGGGGGTTTTGAATTACATTTTTTAGTTAAAGAAGTATATATTCCTAAAATATTAATCTAAATGCAGTATTAATTCATAAAGTATTTAATATTAAAAAGTACATAAATTACAAATGTGTTTAATGCACTGACGATTCAAATAAACGATGAGATAAAGAACTGTCCCTTGAAACGCTTATAGTTCGCTCATTTGAAAAAACTAAGTTACATTATTTAAGAATAAAAATGTGAAGTAAATCACTCGTCCGAATTACACTTCACTATGTGGTTGTGTCCATGTAGTTTTGCATATTCATGTCGTATACCGACTCTTTTAATTTTGTTGATGCCTCGCCAAGAGCCAAACTCGATTGCAAATTAATCTCAAGTGATTCAGTGTTAAGACAACTCTGGATTTCGTTTAAAATGTTCCCGCTAAAACTAAATTCATGCTCCACAGCTACTCTTGATACCGAAATGAATATCACCTCTTTAGCTTGCATTTCGAGTGACGTGAACATGTGCTCATGCCTTGCTTTTGAGCTCCAAATGATAGTTATGCAGGTATCAACTAACAATGTTCACAAAGTCAATCATGCTTGAGCTAGAGCTAGACCAATCTCATGAACTAAAAAATCATGGATAGAAAGCAATCCGACCAACCAATGCTTGTTTGATGTTCATATCAAAAATTAAAGAAATACTTTTTGTTGGATTTAGAAATCACATTCTTTGATGTAATAAGGTCGTATGTTAGGGTGGCGTGAGGAGGGCTTGACCTCCTCCTTCACGCTCCATACACGCCCATTCACCATGACGGAGTTTTGTTTGGCGGGACGTGGCTCCTTCCTGCGTAAGAGTCATCTCTTTGTTGCCCTCCACGTTCTTTTTTTATTTAACCAATTAAAATTTAACACGCATTCACTTTATCACATTTCTTCACTCACTATAATATATATTTTTTATCATTCCACAGCATACATCTTTACACCCATCAAGCCCCACATAACACATGGCTTAAGAGCATGGGCAACGGCAAGAAAGAGGCTCGTCTCACGCTACTACATCAGCTCCTTCATCTCATATCATGGCATGGCAAAAGCAAAGTGTCTTGCTTGTTGAGGCGTGACCATGGCACTCCACCCTTATTTTCTTTTCCTTTTTTTTAAAATAGTTTTTTGATAGAATAAATAATAAAAATAATTTTTAATAATTAAAACATATAAAATTCTAAAAAGAAACGAAAATAATGACTTGTCACTCCACTCACTTGCCACTCCCTCACCCCACTCACTCGCCGCGTGACATTCCATTTTTACCTCATTTTTCTCATTTTATCGCAAATATGAGAATTGTACTCCGTAACACTTATGATTCTTTTAATATGAAAATTCATGAATATAAATAACGATTGTTCATGTGGAAGAGTACAATTATGTATTCCATCCATCCCTAAATGTTTTCATTTAATTAGACTAGAATGTTTGATCAAAATTATTTTCAACTCAACTTATATAATTATTAACAAATAAAACTCGAGTCAGAACATATGTTTATCTCATCAAGGGTATGTTATTTTGAATGTTAGAAAAAATTAGAAAGAGTTAAATAGAGCTGAATCACACTTCTTTCTATGGCAACAAATACAGCCAACGTTACATAAAAATGACTTTTGCTGAACAAGATGGCTCACCAAAAAAAAAAAAACTACACAACTACAACAATAGGAATCCTTTGAACAATTTATAAACAATGGCCACAAGAGAGAGCTCCCAACAATGGCAACACCAATATGGATGGCAAATGAATAGTACTATTTGGCTTCACAAGGAGAAGGGCTTTGCATAAACATCGAATGTCTGGCATGCAGTCAACTGTGGCTCCTGTTAAGATAAAAATATGACAAACATTCTTACAGTCCAGAAGAATGAAGGCATAGTTACATTACATGATATGTTTGGATGGGAAGAATTGATTTCAAAAATTTTGAATCCCGGGAAGGGTAGGCGATTCCTCCCTCAGTCCGGATTTAATTTTCAGTTTTCCAAAATAACCAAGTTTAGGATTATTATAACATGACAAAACTTGTCATTGTGTGTTTTTGTTATTTCATATATGGGTGCGGTTCATGGCACATTGGTGTTGAGTGTGCTACACTTTTATGGCCCTATGGTGCTCCGTTGGGGCACCATAAGGTGCCAAAAAGTGTTGAGTGTGCTACACTCAACCCTGGCGTGCCATGAAACGCCCTTTCGTATATGTAACCATTTAAAAAAAACATTCACATGTTTGATATCTCAAGCGCATGTTACGCAATTCATGTAATTTCATTCTCCTAGTATCATAACTGGACAACTGAATCCGGACTCCCCAAAGAGGAATGATGGACAATTAAAACCAGACAGAAAGGGTAGTATTTATATAGTCTACCTGTCTAAATCCACCACTAAAACTGCCGCCTGTCGTAAGCATGGTTAGGAGGGACGTGACAATGCCACCACCAAGGTCGCTTCCTGAGCCACCTCCTCCACCTGCCTCCTGGATGGCTTTCCTCATTGCAGTCAATATGCTGCCATAAGTGGTTCCATGCCCACGCTCAATGGCTTGAATAAAGCAGTAAGTCATGGCACCAGTTGAGGTAACTCTTGATAGAGCCTAGCCACCACGTTTAATTTGCTTTGGTTTATTGTCATTTTTCACACACACACACACACCCATGAAGGAAGGAAAATAGAGAGCTTACAGATGTATCAGCAGAGGTTTGGTCATCATCACAACCACTAAAAGATATTGCTTCACCTCCACTAGTTCCTTTCATAATACCTGAACGGGGGCGATGGTCCTCCCACATATATTGACCAGTCCTGTGGGTAGAACACCAAAGTAAATCAATGGAACATCTTGGAGACAAAAAAAACTCTGAAGAATAATTAATTCAATCTGAACTCATATTCAACGAGTCTTCGGAGGCCAAACACAACAATATATTTTGTGTGCAACAGGCAAATGGATCTTTAGTAGACCCAGATCATTTATTTCCAAAATTTATATTCACCCACTATATTATACATCTTGCACAAAGTGTAACTGGTCAACAAATACAGAAAATAGTCAACATAAATGTTGAGAGAAGATGTGATTTGAATATATTTTTTGTTAATTAGTATAAAAGTCCCGACACGAGCATGAGTAAGGGTATGGGTCTCAACTCTCAAAATTGGGATTCATACACGGATTTGTTTAAAATAACTTGGCTCCTAGTCATTCAGGCATAAAAAGCTATTTATTCTTAAGACTGAATTTGAGGACCCACTACCCTCCGTACCCATGGACATGGCTATCCATTTTCTAGAATGGGGTTGCCGATTGATATATCCCCGAGCACCACAAATCGTCCTCGAGTCCTTAAACAAATCAATAGCATAATGTCCAAGTCCTATGACCCCATTTGGAATGAAATCATCACCAAACCATGCACCCTAACCATTCTTACCCTGAACCCATCACCTCCTTAATAATCAATCCCAACATCTCAAAATCAATACCCAGGAATCCAAAGAAAACCAAGCCACAATTTCCCTTTCCTTTTCTTTTACAATGCCGAAAATAAGTGTCCAAAAACACACCCAGCATGGTCCCCATTATGTTCCCCAATACACTCAAATTATAACCCAAAATGCCCAGGGATATTTTCCTTCACAATAATACATCCACTCCCCACAACAAACCTACAACAAAACTCCAAATGACACACCCCACACACACCCCTTTGTCTCCAACCCTGACCAAATTCAAATTCCCCAATAACCTCCACAAATACCCAGC